TTTTTTTAACTAACAAAGTTAATATTTCATTCATTTGATTAATTGACTATTAGTTGATTATTAATAGATAAAAACTTATTTTCAACTAACAAAATTAATAATTAGTGATTATTTTTTTTATTTTACTAAGTAATGAGTTAAAATTTATAAATTTAGTAAGGTAAAAAATTAAAAATATTATAATATAAAGTAAGTGACTAAAATCTTTAAATTTAATAAGATGAAGGGTTAAAAATAAAAGGCTAAAAGTAAATTTTTGCCCACGGATCCACGGCCTTATATCACCTCCTCCTCGTACAAATTGTTGTAATTTTTGTCCGTATAGATTAAGAGTATATATATTATATTTTTTATTACATATTAATATATATAATTAAAAATTAATTATTATTTTATTAATTTTTTTTTTACCAATGAAAAATTGAGAGATAAGGGAATAGTTAAAATATCACTACGATGATAACTTGAACCCTTGACAAAAAAGACAAGAGAGAAGGTGTATTTTCATCGTAACTAAGGTCGCAAGTGCATTTTATTGATTATTTAGTAAAAATATCTCACGTAACATTAATATTAAAAACAAAATTTGTGTTTATAATTATTCATATGTTTTAGTAAAATACTTTTTAAAAAACCACCCGAGAAAAATACAAATTATGGTAAAAAAGGGTAAAATATTGGATGTATTACACTCAGACAGAACTTTCGGTGTTTGGATTATCTCAAATTTATTTACGTACACGTAAATGCTGCAGGCTGCACCTGGTGTTTGCTCAGGAATGGAGAATTTCCTGACACCAAATACTTCTAACTACTGCATTTCTAAGAATTGAATTTGGGTTAGATTTCCAGACCTCGATAGAAAATTAATTTTGGCATGCTTTTAATTAGCTCTGAACCAAAAATAGGATTTGTATATTTGACAAGCTCGATGATTTATTCTTCTTTGTCATGCTGTGTTCAAAAAATGTGTTGCTTTCTCCAAGTCCATATATATTTCACAAGCTCAATTAATTAAGGTTTGAATATTAGTTTGAGAAAGTGCGAAATGTCGTTGGATTGGTTTTGGAAACTTGGAAGAATAATTACATTAAATGGATCTGTAAAAATTTTTTTATGTCAAATGGACTAGTTCAATTACGTACAAATATTGTTAACGTATTCTCTTTCTCTTTGCATTTCTTCCAGCCTCAAATATTGCTCTATTCCCCGACCCCTAAATTTGATGAGTATTTATAATTGGTTCTTTCATAAAAATCAAGTAAAAATACTAGTTAAATTAAGGGTTTGAACTTGAAATTTAATATTGAAAGTTTCAAATTTTAATTTTGAGATGGCTTAAAAACAATTTAAGAGAAGAAGTCAAAATTAAAATATCTTATTGTAAATAAGTCTTCGTAACACCTAAAAAAAAAAGAATTGATTGAATATATTCTCAGCATGATGGGCAGTAGCAGTTGAATCCTGAAAGCATCCTTGGATTTGTGGGGATACAAACCAAATATCGAAGAGATTGGGCAATGAAAATTAATTGCGTGAAGGTGGACAAACACCACTGCAATTTACTTTCCCAAGGTGGAGTGAATTAAGGACTTGCATTTGGATATATGTGCTCTGTTGAAGTAGAAAATCTCTTATCTAAAACATAATAAAAAAAATATAAGATAAATATAAAAACGTTATTTTATTTATCATTAATTTATTTTAAATTAAATATAA